AGTAGCAGTAGCAGTTGTTGTTGTTGGTGTAGTAGTAGTAACTAGTAGGAGGAGGAGGAGGAGGAGGAGGTCTGGTGGGAAGTCAGAATCTGAGTGGAGTGGAGGGTGGAGTGATGCTGACTGGGTTGAGGCTTGACGCGGTATCGAAGGTTAGGTCTGGTTTGCGGGAGTTGTTCCACAGCAAACCCAAGTCAAACCGTGTCCTTAACCTTATCTGGTCCTTTCACAATAGTTGAAGGGGGGAACCCCCCCGCCCTCCGCGAGTCTCCCCGCCACAATGAGGGATTCAGAGGCACCAAGGTGGGAAGTCGCATGGTACCTGGTGGATGACGGGTGTCCCCCTCAAATCTGCTTGTGCAACATGGCTGTTGTAGGAATTGTGGGAATTGCGGCACTGCGATTGTGCAGCTTGTTCATTGACGTTGTTTGACTTCTGCGCGCTACGTATATTTACGCAGGTTTATTGCGCCGACCTGGCAGGTTCTAACCATGGCAAGTGCATCTGTTGTCTACGTGTGTTTAGTCCTCTAATAACTTCCCGTGTTGCTTAGGAAGGGTGGGTCTTGTGAATGTTGGCCCAGATCACGAGAATTCCAAAAAATCCGCAAACTTTGATAAACGTCCCGAAGCGTCCCAAAACTTCCCGAGATTTCCGTGCTTTTGCTGCTTGCACCATGGCCCAGACGTGCTTCTTCATGCCTTGATTCGGGCCCCGTGGGTTCCAGATTCCCTTGTGCCAACGTCCGACATCCTTTAACCCTCGAAAACATGATGGCCATGGCCCAGTTTTGATGTAATGGGCGACCTGGCTTCTCGGCTGACTGTTTGATTCACCTTCATGACAGTATTTCAGCTCAGAAATTCAATCCCAGAAAAAACATGGTAAAACATCGGGCAGCATTTCCGTTCCAGCTGGCAAAGCAATAGGGCAAGGGGAGGAACAAAACCGAATCCAGAAACTAGTGTGTGTGTGTTGTCTGTATTGATTGGAATGTTTTATGTGTTTTGTTTTATTTTGGGAGTTTCGTTTTCCGCTTCGACTCTGCTTGGGTTGCTTGTTGGACCCCGAAACAATGGACGGTTTTCGTGCTTCTACTGGCTCGGGGGGCTGCGACCCTCGAACCCTTTGAAACCCTAACGCTGAAACGTTGAAACAGATGGGCCATAAACCCCAAACCTCAAGCCCTTAGTAGGGAGTTCCCCCAGCTTGGCCAACATGCACAAGCGTTCCCAAAGATTCTAAAAACGACTAAAGCCCCAAACCCTTATCCCTCAAACCGTAACCCTCATCCCTTTCAATCTAGAATATTTTTGTAAATTACTTCACAAATATCTACAAACATTCCTAAACATCCCAGAAACTCCCAAGAGCGACGAGGAAGCACCATTGTGAAGAAACGCTGGAAGCTACTAGCACTAGCTGATTTAGGGTGTCGACCTGGCAGATTCAAGCACCACGGCACGCGTTTCTGTTTTTACACGGCCGAGTGCATCTACCTGGCAGGTTTCAAGCACCGCGTTTTCAACCAGTTTTCGATTTCTTTTGCAAGCGAATTCGCAGCAACTGTGTCAGCATTTTGCAAAGACAGGGAGTTGCCTCGACTATTCTGAGCAAATCACTAAGAATATGTGCCTGACCCACTAGGTCGCTAGGGGACAAGAGGCTGGTTGGCATGTGCCGGCTCGAAAATGCCAATACACCCAGGTAGTTTCTCACTTGTACATAATTTTGTCAAGCCTCCAAAGCCTCCACCATGCTCGAGAGAGTCGCAATGCTGTGCGGCAACAGATTCGCTTGACAAGCCGCCCGCGCCATCCTTTCCCCGCTATGCTTCCTTCCCCTGGCTTTCGTGGCTCTCTTCTCATGTGCAGGTTTGGAGCCTCGCTTGAACGGATTATCAGGAGTTGCTTGCATTGTCATTCTATTCCGTTTTTGCCAGGCCCATGCGTGCTGTCTTGCCATTTTGCAGGTAGGAGAGGCATGTGTCAGTCGCAACGAAGGAAGCCACGAGTAAGCTGAAGGTGTAACGCGTATTGCACACTTCTATGAAGTTGGGTGTTTCATGAAGACTCATGCTTCGCTTCCTTCTGAGGAGTCAACTCCTCCTCCAGCTTAGAAAACCTTTCGTTGCTGCACATGGTACTGTGATTGAATTTCATCGCATTGAAACACGTTTCCTTTGCGTTCATTGTCTTTGTTGCATTGCATTGCACCTTGTTTGGTTTTGCTGATAATTTCTTTGTTTTTGAAGACATGTACCGAAGTGAGTGTTCTTGTTTTTGATTCAAGCGAACGGCTGGCAAGCACGTGGTTTTGTACCCAGGGAACGGAAACACCGGAGTGGGACAGGCCCCACTGTAAAGCGGTTAGATCGTGCTCGTTTATTCGTTTCATCTCATTCCATTGCATCTTACCAACAGAGGCCGGTTCCTTTTCTGGATTGAACATGGTTTGAATGTCAGTTAGACATGGGTTCCAAGTATGACCTTAGTATGCATTCTAGCTTAGCTAGTCAGTTAGTCATAATCATGGTTAATTAGATTGCCAGCTTCTACTACAAAACTTAAGTCAAAAACGCGCTCGTGCTTCACATTTCTGTAGCTTCATTACACAGCACGAGCAAAATAAGCGGAATTAGCCGGGGTTCTCCTTGATGTTTGGGATGTCCGCGTGTTCATGTTGTTCGTTTTTGCCTTTATGAAGCCCAAAGAATGGAACGAGAAAATGCACATGTGAATGAAGATAAAGCGCTTAATTGATTGTTCGCATGAAATGATAATAAGTGCACGAGATTCACACTCACAGAAAACATTCGCACAAAGAAATCCAAAAAGTCCTTTCAGAACGAGAAACCAGTTGTCCTAGTGAATCGAGATAGAGATCAGTTTTGCTTTTGTTTAACATAAACAAATTCCTGGGCTTCCTTCCGTTAATTTTAATGCTGGCACACCCACCACGAGCCAAGGATATCTGATGTCATGAAATCAGCAGCGGCGAAGGAACTACCATGAATGCTCTATTTTGTTGGCTTCGTCTTGCTAAATTGACCTAGTCATTCCGAAGGCTCCACTTCTCTCTTATAGCATTCTTCACATGGAAATTAAAGGTATAAGTATCGTGGCGTAATGAAACTAAAGTAACTAAAGTAGACGAAAGTCGTTCACCTGCGGAGGGTTTGTTTCATGCTATCAGTGTTCCATCACGTTGCACGCCTGTTCGTGGTGCCAAAACCAAGGGAACCGGGCAAAGCTCAATCGCCAGTCAAGAACGTTCCCGTTATGTTGACGTCATACTGGCTGAGAATGCACCGGACAACACCTTTTTTGATGTTGAACCTTATTGGATGAATTCCTGTTATGCTTAGCTGAGACATATTTCAATGTGGCCTGGGTTTTTTCGGAATCCCAATTACATCTCCCTTGGACTTCCAGTCAGTTCATCCTGAGCCCTAAGAACGCCAACCGACTCATATTCCGCAGACCTATCGCGGCAGATGGCACTGCCGGGCCCTATGCTACAGGCTCAGACGGCGGCCTCATCGTGGAATGCAACAAGAGTGTTGAAATTTTTACGTTCAGGCCTTGCTGTCCTGGGTTCAGGATGAGAAGGGCATTCGGGGTATGCCGAAGACTTTGGAGAAGGTGCTGGCCCCGGGGCACAATGTCACAATGCTGCAAGGTCTGGAGCACTTACGAGCAGATCGGCAAGAGGTGCTGAGGGTCACCTTTGTCGCTTGATTAATTGGGTAGGAAGCGTTTCTTGGCAGGGGACAGCACCTTTGCATCACCTCAGCTTCTCCGCCGTTTCGTGCCTTGCGCAGTGATGGCCTTAAACCACGGAGCAAGTACATGAGTTTTGCGTATATGCAAATACACACATATAGAGGTAAAGAAATCATATATATATATATAGAGAGAGAGAGAGAGCGCGAGAGAGCAGTCCAGACAAAAGCACCGGAACCCCACCTGCTGCTACTTGTGTTGCAGCTGCCGTCTCTTCGTTGTTGAAGACATTGATCCGTTTGCTCCTGGTTGGTTTACGTAAATGAACTGTTGTTGTCCCTTCTGCTGATTGATTTTATGTGTGGCGGTGGTAGTTGTTGTTTTCGTGCAGTCCTTACGCCAGTCTCATCATATACGTTTTTGCCTCCAGCTTTGGTTACTTTATTCGCTTGCTTGGGCTTGCGCTCGCCATGGCGTTCCTGCTTGCGTTGTCTTTCGTCCAGCTTGGTAGTTACTGTGACGAAGATGATAGCAAATATGCTGGTGCTGACAACGATGACGATGATGGTGGCGATGGCAGATGAGGACGAAGGCGAGCAGGAGCACACAGATATACATGGTGATCAGCATGGCCATATGGTCAGCGGTCAGCATGACCATGGTGATGGTCACACTTTGCTTCGGTAGTGGCAATTATGGTTCTGATTCCCATGTTGTTCCTGCTAGGGCTGGTGAGCCTGTTAATCATGCTGACGACAGTCTTGGTGATGTTCAGCTATTACGGTCATCAGGGCTATGGCGGCTACGATGGAAGGTTGGTACGTGGTGTGAAGATGGGCTTTCCGTTTGGATGCTGATGATTATCTTGATGTTGTTGACCGTGATGGTGGTGGTGGTGGTTGTGATGACGATGACCATCATTGTCATGTTGACGAATAAAGGCATCGCCTCACCACAGCGTGAAACGGTCCTCCGCCAGGGCAGACAACTTCGGAGCTGGTCTTGTGAATTTGGAGCTCTGTTCCAAACTCGGCCGACAGTTTCGGTGATGGGTATAGGGCTTAGACTTTAAGAGTTTAGGCTTTAGGCATGTGCAGTCTGTGGGATCATTGCCTGGAGGCGAGATGCGGTTACAAGTGTGGCTGGGACGTACGTTTGTTGCTGCATGTCCGCTTGCTTGATGGAGTCCACGGCTTTGTATCCCCATCATTTCCGAGAAATGTCTACTCGCAATTGGCCGTGTGAACGTTGGCAATGCAAGCCACAGAGCTAGAGTTGTAAGTGTAGAATATGCCTGTCCAGCTGTCATCATTACATGTCCTCAACCGCAAGCCGCAGCGCATCTCAGTGGTCGAATCTCACCTCGAAGCTTCTTTGATTCCACCGGATCCTCCCACCCGGAAGCCGCTGCAGAGCTGTAAAGGCTTTATTGAGGCTTTCTCAAATCAAAGTTCGTTGCTCTTGGTAGACAGTCCCTTCCAATAGGTGAAGACGACATAGAATCGGACATGTTGCTTGAATGCAAGTCTTTAGCACACGGTGGAGAGGATCATGGGCCAGGAGGTCCCAGGAGCACACGAGTGCTCCAGCTTTGGACACGAACTTCGGAGCTGTGTCAACACAATGATTTGGTTGATGTCAGTTCTAAGAGCTGGTGCTTCTCTTGGCCATCATGACATCGTTGTTCAAACACTGCCATGGCCGCGCCGTATTCTTGTTCAGGGTTTTCGTTCTTGCTGGTGGTTGGTTTGGTTGAGCTGCTTCTCACACATCTCTCATTTGCTTCCAGGCCCCTCGAAGCCGGATCCGGAGGTTAAGGACCGTGGCATGCTGGGGCGCGGATCCCAAGACAGTGTGGCATTTGTCTTCAGAATCCATGGCATGAGGTTGACAGGTTCGAAAGGCTACGAAAAGTTCGCGCAGGGGTCCATTTCCACATTTATGTACTCTAAGTCCACTTCAGTAAGCACCACTCAGCCGCACCAAGACTACGGTGCGGCTCAGTTCAGTCATCTCTCCTTCGGCACAATGACATCTTGACAATGAGTCTGACGATCGCTGGTGCCATGGTGGGGATTTCAACTCCGACGACGACGATGATGCCGAAGGTGAGAGTGACCATGATTACAGTTAACGATGATGATCCAGGTGGTGGAGCTGGCTGAAGGTGAGAATCAAGCTCTGCCTCTCTGAGCGGTGCACGGGCAGGATGGCCTATACCACTACACTTGACTGGAACAAGTCTAGAACATTGCACCAGCCAAGAATGACAGCTAAACTGTGTGAGTATTCACTTCTCCCTCTTTTTTGGGGGAATGGTGCCTGCAAGCCTTTTGCTTGCTGCGAAGGGCGTAGTGGTTTGGAGCGGTTACAAGTTACAAGTTTTTCTTGGGCTTTCTTCTTGGACGACTGCTGGTCTCGCTCATGCTTTGCGAGGTTCTACTCAAAGAATCGGCTGGAGTGGGAGTGCGCCTAAGTCTATTGAGCTGGCGCGCTGGGCTGTCTTGTGATATGGTCCAACTCAAGCTTCAAGGAACGTAGGACACGCAGCAACAGCATTTCTTTCTCGTGTGTCGCTGCATCCGGTGCTTGGAAGAAGCTGCAAGCAGAGCTGGCCCCAGTGTAGTGCTGAGCATGTACCACTCTTTCCTGTACGTATGTATGATTTCAGAAGATTTCCTGACTTTCAAGGTTGTGGCAGAGCAGGCTTGCTTCACGCAGGCGCAGATCGGAGGGCATGTTGCTGCGTATCCTGGTCGTTGCAAACGATTCGTGTTGGCCACCTGGGCAAGGTCGCAATTCAGAGTGCGCAAGACAACAAATATGACCCCACCAAGTCCACTTTCTGCAGTCAGAATCTCTGGTCGCGGGGGCTCGGAAGCCAAAATCCAATTTTGTTCTGGGGGCAGGGGGCTGAAAGAGAGATTGTATAAGAGGAGGGGATAGACTAGAGGTTCCTGGCGTCGGAACCCCTGACCGCTTGGCCCAATGCCATGTGGGGATGCATTGATGCACAGCTAGGAGAGCACCCCGCAGTGCAGTCAACTCCCCCATAACAGATCCTTGGGATCCTGAGCCTGAGCCCGAAACCATTAGGCAAGGCTGTGAGATCAGTGACGCTTTGAGTTTATGGTTAGGCATGGTTAGCAACCCTAAGCTCTAGATTTGACTACGCAAGCCTTCGACGTCCCAGTCGATCGTGACGGTTCCCATGTACGACACCCTCGGTGCTGACAGCCTCTCGACTTGGATCAGCTGGTGACGATGAGCTCCTGCATTCACCACCTATAGAGTCAAGGGCAACGGCATCCTGTCGCCATACTAGTTCTAAGCGCGATACCAGGCAACCAGACCAGAAGTGAGAACTAGACTAGAGCATTCGGAACCAAAGATGCCGCAAGCCCGGTGTTCCTCTTCCTTGCATTGTACTATAAGAGCCCCCCAGGTGGGGCTTACTTAGTATGACAAAGGCTAAGCCATTCACGATGTATATGGCTGCTGTCAGTCTCAAAAGCCTAGTTCGGGTTGCTTGTACAGCAACAAAATCGGACGAGTCCCCCAATTCCGCTTTGAGTTTTGTAGGAGCCCACCCGGAGGGAACCCAAAGCATACTTCAAGATCCTCTCTATCCTGAGCCGTGACACGAAAAGAAACTTCTCAGCTCTGGAGTTCAAAGGTGTGGCCTATGTCATCAAGCAGTGCAGCCTCAAGTCAGTGATTTGTGCTGCCAAGACCTCAGCTTGTTCGGATGCTGTAGGCCGGGATGACCACGGTCTAGAGTCTAGAGTCTAGGACCTTTCAGTTTGGGGGTTTGCGGCGTTGTTCCATTTGGAGTTTATGGATTTCAGTTCCAGGTTCTGCGGTTCCGTTTCCGGGGACGTTACAGGTGCCGTAAGTGGGGTTACAGCATGGAGACCACCTCCAACTCTGCTGGGAGGCCACGGGCTTCAGGGCTGCCAGCTCTTCGGGTTCTAGGCTTCTGGATACAGAGTAGTAGCGATGACGGCAGCTGAATACGCATCGCTAACAGGCAGCCGTTTTGGAGAACGTCTTGGATTGCAAGCCCGACTGCCCCACACTGGAGTGTCCGACACTTGGATGGGAGTCGTTTTTTTTTTTCCGGCCACCATCTCGAAGCGGAAACTACACCGTCAAATTCCACACCCCAAGCCCGAAAACCCAAGCTCTGAGCCTATTGGTCCCTGCACCCAGTCCCGCCAGATTTGGATTAGATTCGGTGTGCTTTGGCTTGCGAACCTCGCCTGAAGCCGAAAGAAGAGCAGCACGACTTTTCATTTCAAGGGCGAGATCACTGCGACAACGAAGAGCGGACAACTCTTCAAACCGACACTGGCGTGTACCAGTTAGTTGTGGCGGTAGTCTGTGTGTAGGATGTGCATCAGAAGACTTGGAAGTGCAATGACATCAACACCAAGAAACGTAGTCCCACCGGAAACACATGCCGTTTGAGCTGCTGCAATGCCCATACAAGATGACCTATCTAAGCGCCCAAGACACTACAAGACGTGGCAGATGGGCAGGATCTTGCAAGCCACGCACACTGGTGTCTTTCTTAACGACTTCCCATTGTGGCTTCCACAAGTGTGGCCCATCTTGAAGACACGGCGGGCCGACTTTCCGGAAATAAGGCTGGAAGTAGTAGCAGGGTTAGTGCGAATGTACTACGTGGGTGCTCTTCTCACGTCGCTGGAGCCCAGGTTTAAGTGGAACAGAACTCAGTAGGCTCGTCACAATTCACCCCAAGCCTGGTTTGCAGTTGAAAGCCCAGTTCGATTTAGCGTCCATCCAGAGAAGACGAAACAACCAACACGAGCCAGAGTCACCTTCGCGTAAACCTTTAGATCCAAGCACGAAGCAACTAACTTAACCCATTCCCACCCGAAGTCCTGAATCCCCAATCTTAAATCCCATGCCCTGATGTATAAACGACTCCAAGTCCATGAACACCAAAAGCCCCGCGGCTCCAGGCCCCCACACCACTTCGGCAAAAGAAACCTACCCTCGAGGTGTGATCCTTATGGAACCCCTTACGGAAGACCTCCGAAGCAAGGCCTCGTCCTTGGCGGCCTTGAGATGGAAAGGGTAGTTTCAGAGGAATTTCAGGAACCAGCTTCAGGGGCACGTTCATCTCTTTCTTCAGTATCGGAACCGTGGACATAATGTAAACCATTCGGTTCTGCCATGGTTATTTATTCACGTCACAAGACCGGGCATGAAACATCAGAAAACCACGACTGGCGAGATCTCGCTTTCGACTGTTGCAGTTCGAAAAAGGTGTTCAGAAAACATCGCATGACAAGACTGTGGCATGCGATGAGTAGAGTCTGACTCTTAGAGGACAACTGACAAAACCGACGAAGGCGCTCGCGACCTCAACACAGCTCCGTGTGTCCTCGGATTTGCGTTTTGGAGAGGGGAGCATGCCGTCGTGTATCGTTTTTGTTGCCAGCCTCCGGGTCTGGGTGGAAGGCCGCTTGAATTTGAAGCCTTGGCAGCTGCAACCTAAACTTTAATCGTTACACCCTGAACTGTTTAAGTCGTGCACTGATCTTGAGGTCCTGAGTGTCCCAAAGACAGACTGCTTCCAACGCCGTGCTGGGTTGGCGTCTCCTTTGCCCCAAACTAATTCGGCTGTACGTTTTTTGGATTCTGCATCTTTAAGCCACAGGGCTTGTTTTCAACACCACGTAGATTGACATGCAGTGAATCCTTGCTGACCCTCCATTGGCATTTTGGAGCTTGGCTTCACCCGAACCCCCACGAGTACCATGGGTCGAAACGGAGTTCAGAGTTGAATCGGGGCTGAAGGCCTGCCACATTTATTCAAGCCCAGCCTTGGGCGCAAGATCTTTTCAGAGAAAGTCGACACGAGAAAGATGAAGAGATGCGTGGTAAAAGTGCAGGCTTCCTCAGCGGGCTTGAAAGCCTTCAGTATGGAAGAGGCGCTGAAGACTTACCTTCTGGAAGCGAGCATTAGCTGCGTCAAGCATGCCCATTCTCACATTGCGTGTCTCGGGGTTTAGATGAGTGCGCTTCATTTCTAAGGAATCAGGCTGCTAAGGTAGCGAGGTGAATCAAACTTGTGTGATGGTTAGTAGTGTCCTGTTTTGGCACTGCTCTTGTTGGCACAAAGATGACGACGACCGCGTACGACGACAACTACTTACTATTCCTGCTCCTCCCGCTGGTGCTACTACTTCTTCTACTTGTTTTTCTCCTACCGCCTACTGCTACAGCTACTGCTACTCCTACTCCTACTACTCCTACTACTACTACTACTACTACTACTACTACTACTATTACTTCTTATCCTCCCACTACCACTACCATGACCCATACCATTACGACTACGCACTACCGACTGCCACTAGCATCTACG